AAAACAAAATAAATAAATAAATAAAAAATAAAATAAAATAAAAATAAAAGCTCTATAAATGCCATAGCGTTTACATATATGTATAACTGAGAAAAATAAACTTATGTATTTATCCATTATATATATATATATATATATATATATATAGTATATATAAATATACAGGCATTTATATATATATATATTTAAGTGTTATTTCACTTTCAATTAAATAATGCCCACCTTTTTTTTGTTGATGTTTTGTTGAATGCTATGATTTTTATTTTCTACACAAGTTTTTTATTATTGTTTTTATTTTATTTTCGTATTTTTTTGGCTCTTATTTTACTTACATTTTTCTATGTGTGTGTGTGTTTGCATTAATGTATGACATTAAAAATAACAAAAATTTAATGATTTTTTTGTACTTTTTTTTTGATAATAATTCCCATATAAATAATATATATATAACTTAAATTTGTTTTGCAGTCTAAAGATATAGTAATTCAGTGTCCTTATATATATATATATATATATATAGCATATATATCGTATAACAATTGTATTCAAGTAATATATATTTAATATATATATATATATATACTGTATATATATAAAAAAAAGTTTTATAATTTAAATATAATACCCCAATAGTATAATATTGTATAAATAATAATAATAATGAAAATTTAGTTATTCCCTGTAGATATAAATTTCTCTTTTTATTTTTTTTTTGTCTTTAAAAAAATAAATTTTTTAAAAACAATTAATTTGAGGGTTTTGATAGAAACACTCAGAGGAGAAAATGTACAATATTTATGTTTGTTAATTATATAGTTTTTTTCCTAAAAACAAAAAAAAATACACTATTTATTACTACTTAAATAAATTAAACTATATATATATAATACAGTTTTATGCTAGAAAAAGTTTTATAAAGAGATTTAATAATAAATATCATTCACTAGTTTTTTTTAAAAAAATTTTAAACAGTTTTAACATAAATAAAAGTGATATAAAGTTAGTGAGAAAAAAATCTTTAACTATCCCTCTCTTTATTCATACATAAAAAAAGAGAGATCTAATGCTCTGACACTTGTCATAGACATTGAATATACAAGAATATTCTGTATATATATATATATATATATATATATATATTATGTATTTATTTGTAATGGCATTTACGGGTGTCAAATGTGGTGTATTGTAAGTTATTGTCGGACTTAAAGGCATATAAAAATCAATGGTCTATATAGGTATTTAACATGACTTTAGGATTTGTAGCTAAATTTTATTTGTATATTTTTTGTTGTTGTTGTTGTAAAGCATTTACCCTAAACTATTTGATTTGTATTTTTTTTATATATATATACTGTATGTACATAAACATTATGTTATTTTTATATACTAATAATGCACTGGCAAATGAAAAAAACTATTGTATATTATTTGATTGTTTCATGTTTATAAACTATAAACACAAAACATTACACAATATATTATATACAAAAATGACTAACAATATACTGTATATACATTATATATCTGTCATATCATATATATATTTATATAAATGATTGTCAAGTATATAAAATAATAATATATTATTAAATATACTGTATATAAATGTTATTATATATCAATCTTGCAATTTATTCACATAAGTACACATAAAATCTTATTATTAATATTATTATCAATAATAAGAATTGACTCAAAAAAATAGATAAAGAGAAATAAAAAAGTGATTCAGATTTATCTCTAATTTATTTGTATAATATCTCATAGTATTAGTAGTAGTAGTTGTAGTAATAGGACTGTCATAAAGGCAAACAACATTATAGTACACACACACACACATACACACATACACACACACACACACAGTTAGCTTAACAATTACTTGCTGTCCAAACTGTATGTATATACTATGATATGTCTTACCTAATAAAAACCGGTAAATATTAGACAATCTAACTGAACGGTATTTGAAAGGAGGAAAACTGTATTTTATGGCATAAAATGACTGTCCATTTCATTTATTAGATTACTTCTATTACTTGAATAGTACAGTATATATACAATACAACACTGTATAATACAGTCCTAATAATAATAATAATAAAGCACTGGTATGTTTTATTTCTCAATCTATCTATCCATCTATGATAATACAGTAGTTCATTATAGACATAATCCAATAACTAAAATGTGTGTTAATTAGACAAATCAAAACCAAATTCAATGCACAAACACACAGACACACACCTCATATTAAATACATTAGTACTTACCCTCATTGTCCTCATAGAGTATAACAAAGCGATTCCAACTCCAAGCCTTAACGAGATCCACGTACGCCTTGGCCAACAGGGATGGCCGCGGATATAGATTAATAGACAGTCCGTCTTTGATTACCTGTAGGTCCCAGCGGGTAATAATGTGCGGTATGTCCAGTGCGTCGCATATGGACTGTACGTGTCTGGAGATGGAGCCTTCAAGCGGATCAAATATGGCGGCCACACCGTTGCGAAGTAGGCCACACACTGGTGTTTGTTTGTTGTGTTAATGAGAGAGAAAGAGAGCACCGGTAGGTTATTATTATTATTTATTTTTTTGTGCATACGTATAGATGAGTTTTGTAGACATAGAAAAAAATTTAAAAAAATAAAATATCAGTTTAATCTTTATGTGGGTTTATTTGTTAAATGTATTACTAATACTATTGTATTCGGATATTTAATCGGATAATAGTAGAGTAGTTAAAGTTTATTTTATATAATATACTTTATATATATATATATAGTAAATACAAAAAAATTGTTTACAGATTGTATTGCATAAATTTATTATAGAGTATATATACTGTATATATATATATTATTTTTTATTTGTTTAATTTATTTCAAATAAAAACTTATTTTATTTTAATTTTTGTTTTTTTTATGATCAAAGAATCTTATGAATGAAGAAAATTCAAGTATTTATTGCATTTAATTATATATATTTTTTTTAATTTAGATTTTATTTGCAAATATATATATATATATATTGAATGAATAAAAGAAGTTTTCCTAAAGAATATTCTCTCTTTCTTTATTGAATTATTTAATGTTATAGAAATAAAAGTAATAAAATATCAATAAAAATATATATATATATAACACAAAATATATCAAAACATATTTAAGTAAAAAGCATTCAATTTTCAGTCTATTTTGTTGTTGTTGTGTTTATTTGAAATGACAAACATAAACGAAAAAAACAAAACAAAAAAATGTTTTTACAGAAAATCATAGCTAACTATTGTTAACATTATTGAGAGAAAACAAGATAAAAGTGAAAAATAATAATAATAAAAAACAAATAAAAAAAATCAAACAAAATAATATAATAATTGGTTATTAACTTTAATGATATTATAGAGGTTTTTATATGTCTGTCCCAATAATTTATATATATATATATATATATATATATTATTAAAACTTCAATTTACAGTAAACATTGAGATAATACAGTACTTACTTATATTATATAAGTTATATATCTATAATTACATTATAATAAATTAACTTAAGATAAAATAAACTGACAATATATTAGTGAATAGTAGATAATTATTTACAATAATATTATGGCAGATAACTATATAAAACAAAACAAGAAAAAATCAAAAACAAAAAATTAAAACTAATAAAAATATTAGAAATGGTATTTCTAAGATTTTTTTTATCAATGTTTGAATGTTTTTTATTACATAATAATATTATACTAGTCTTTACTATACTATACTCTATACAGTCTTTTTCAATATCTATAAAAAAAATATTTTATCACTTGATATCATGATAAGTATAACTCAAAATGTTATATTTTTTAATAATAATATATCATATATACAGTATATATATATATATATAATATTAAAGTCTTTGCCTGTTTTTTGAGTGTATGTGTGTGTGTATATGTGAGTGTGTGTATGTATGTGTGTAAGAGTGTGTGAGTGTGTGTATGTATGTGTGAATCATAAAAGTTTTTGATAATTGAGTTATTTATCTGAAAAAAAGATTGAGTCATCAGAGAGTGAAATATATATATATATATATATTATATATCTGTAAAATAAAACAATATATAAATTATATTTTATATAAAAAACTACTACACGATATATACAGAATATACTGTATGTTATAAATTATATTAACACTGGGAGAGAGAGAGAGAGAGAGAGAGAGAGAGAGAGAGAGAGAGAGAGAGAAAGAGAAAGAGAGAGAGAGAGAGAGAGAGAGAGAGAGCACAGTTATAAAAAGATATATGTGCTCTTATTAAACAAAACAAAAAAACTCGACAMAMATATAYATATATATATATACTAAACCTCTTTTGTCGGCATGAAAGCTGTCCTCTTTGCCGATGCGCTCGACCTGAGCCACAAGTGTCGACTTCGGTAATATAGACGGGTCGGCATTGATCCGCTCGATAGCCATACGGAAGACCATCTCCTGTTCCTCGTTATCCTCACCGAACAGACCACCTATTTATTTATTTTTTAGATATTTCAAAATAAATGTATGAATTAGTCATATATTATTAAGTAGGGTAATAAAACATATAATATACTTTAGATATTAGACATATATATATTAGTATATCTTTTTTAAGCTGATATATACAGTATTTTTTATTATTTTGAATAAACATATCATTAGCACCGGTATATTAGTCAGTAAGTGACAGTTATATATATTATTGATTTTTGTTAGTTTGTTTGTTTGTTTGTTTGCATGCATTTTGTTATTGCACTTATATAAATATATATATATATATAATTATATCATATTTTTTCATTGAATATACACAAGTGTGTGTGTTTTTTAAATGTATATAAAAGCATACATTAATGACTCGTATAAATTTTTATTACACATACACACATTACATATCAAGTTTATCATTTAATTTAAACACATTTTAATTAATATAAACATTTATTATGCCTGTATTTATGCATGTTTTGTACATATATATATATATATATATATGTATGTAAATGTAAAATACAGGATATATTTTTTAATAGTAATTATAATAACGGCATATAAAAGGAGAATTAACCGAAAAAATATCTTGAATTTTCCGCTTTAATAAGTCATTTAGTATTGGATTTTATTTTTATTTTCTAGTTTTTTATGCCGAGAAAACTCATTAAGTTTTTTTATTTTATTTTACTGATTATTATTATTATTTATATACTATTAAATTTTATGATCGTATTAACAATATATTTAATATATATAAATATATATTTTTATATAAGATTAATTTATAAGATAAGACAACTATTTTGTTATTTATATAAAAATCTATATTGATTTATTAAAAATATAATTTTATTTAATTCTCAAGTGTTTTGCCAAAATAAAACATATATATATATCACATGAGAAATATATAAATATAGGATTAATTTTAATTTATATGTATTATTTTATTCATAAATTGTCTAAAAAAACTTAATAAAATAGATTTAAAATTGAATTTATTAAATAAAGATATTTAATTAAAATATAATGTGTTTTATAATTATAAATTATTTAAAATTATTATTACATAAATATTATGTGCCACTAAATTTATAAAATAATTTATTTATTAATTTACAATAAGACTGTAATATATCTATTATTTTAATTTTAATTTAAATATTTATTTATCTAAAACACGATTGTCATTAAAAAATATATATAATTAATTAAAACTATTATTATTATTATGAATAATATTGTGTAATAGATAAAATAAAAAGTATTCAGTATTTATAAAATATATAATTAATAAAAAAATACATTATTTTGCATAAATGTATAATAGATATAAAATTATAAAATTTATTTTTATTATTTTTTATTAAATCCACTTTAAATATCCATTGTTTATTGTATTGAAATAATTAATATAAAAAATAAGTATTTCTACAAAAACACGTATAAAACTTATTTTTAATAATAATAATAATATAATTAATTAAACGCTTTTAATCTCTAAAAAAATTCTTTTCATAATTAGTTTGTTTACTAAAAAAAAAATTTATTTTTCTACTTATATATTATATAATATTTTTAAATACTCTATTATGTTATGCATTATTACAACCAATTAAAATTACTAACAATTATTTGATACAATTATTATAGAAATAATAAAAATAATATAGTAATTAGTAGTAGTATATTTATTAGCCTTATTATAGTTGTATTATTATTATTATTATTATTATTATTATTATAAATATATAAAACCATTGAGTGCTTAATTCGTGACATATTTAATATGTTGTATAACATTAGACATCTAATTAAATATTTAGAAATATATATATATATATGTCTGTATATATATACATATACAATATGTACTGTATATGTAAAACAAATATAAATTTTTAAAACTATTATAGTATAACAATAATATACATTAAACTAAAAGAATTATTTTAATGTAAAAATATTTTTATATTTATCTTTATAAATATAAATGTATACTATTATACTTAAATTATTTCAATATATTTAAATATTATTAGTTACTTGAAATGTTATACAACATAATGCATTAATGTTTTTAAATGTATAATAATATTAAATTTTTTAGTTTTTATTTCATAAATATGATTATTAAAGTTGAATTTTTTTACAACGAAAAATTAATATCAAATTTATTGTAATTTGAAATTATATAGATATATACAAATATCATATATTAATTTATATGAAAAATTAAAATGTTAAATATAAATTGTATATAATTTATTTTTTATGTTATATATATATTATTTATAGAGTAGAGCATTAAATTTTTGATTTTATTTTTTAAATAAAAATATCAATATTTTATATTATATATCATAGTATATATTATAAAAGGCATACAGACATACAAACACATCAATAAATATATTTTTGTAGATATATATAATAAAAATCACTGTTATATATCTTTATGAGCATTATATTTTTACAATTACACACTCACTCACTCACATTACCGCTAACACACCCGACAATAAAATTTTTTTAAAAGTGCTATTAAATAATAATGGCTTTTCAAAAAACGTTATCTCATTTAAAAATCACATCAAAATCAATGGATTTATATATTTTTCGTTATAAATATATACTGTGCAATAGATATAAATTTTTACTATAGCTTAATGAAATCTGATGTAAATTTATTTTGGCACTTAGATATAAAAATTTATATAACCATATACTGTATACAACACTATATTAAATATATTGTTATATAAGCTAGCAATACATCAATTGCTTTACTGTATATATACATATAATATGTTATATTATTCTAATTTATATTAAATATTTATAAAATTTATTTCACACAATGGAATATACAATTGATATTTTATGATTATAGACAAACAAATAGATAGATAGATAGCTAGAAATTATAATACAATAAATATAAATTTTATTCCAATATATGATTTATATATATATATAAATTTATATATATATTATTAACTATAGCAAAATTTAAATAACATTTGTGTGAACACACTGAATATATTTAAATAAAATATCTTATATTTTATATATAAAAATATTATACAGCAATATACTTAGTATATATACATATTTATTGACATAAAGAAAATGATAAATTTAATGTACATTTAATGTATTATATATATATATAGTATATATATAATCTGAGAATTATTTAATGGATTTTAATATATCTTTCCATTATCATACAGTGTATACTGTGTAATATAATAGCAATTTTATCCATAAGTATAATAATCTATTATAAATAATACCGATAATATCAATAAATAAATACAATGTAAAACTGTGTGATCTATTGTGGTTATATAAATTTAATATTTGATATTATAATACAGATGAAATACCGGTATAATGTAATAAATGAAATGATAATATAAGATTTAATATGATATTGGATAAGAAATATAGGGAACTACTAGTGATATTAATGGTGGTTTGAGATCAGTTAGCATCAGATACTTTGATAATACAATAGTCAGAGATAATGAGAGAGAGAGAGAGAGAGAGAGAGAGAGAGAGAGCATACATACCGACTTTGATGACATCTGGAAGTCCATCCGTTTGTGATATGTTTTGCCTAATAATTATGAGACAAATAACAACCAAATGATAGCTAAATGAAGTCATTGTCTCTTTAATGTCTATCTGTAGTCATATGTATTGTCACTATAGTATATATCGTGTTGTTGTTGTCGTAGTTTTTTTGTAGGTGAGTGCTAACTACACACACACACACAGGTTTATACAAAACAACATACACGATATGTTATATACAACAATGTTGTCGTTGTTGTTATTGATATAGTTATTAACATATTTATATATTTTTAAATAATCACACAACTTTTTTTTTATAAATAAAATAACATTATTAACATCATTATAATAATAATAATAATAATATCATAGCATACTTGTCGTTGTGTTTAACATCACTCGCGTAAAACATAAATTAGTTGAAGAAAAAAACCAGAATATTCTGGTGTAAAATACAGTATAGAAACTATAAAAAAGATATAATAAATGATAACAATTATTATATTATATATATATTATATATAAAAATACAAGATTTATTTTTTTTGTTTAACTTCCAGCAGCACTGGTAGCACTAGTATAACAATCTGTATACTGTATTATATAACAATAATAATCATAATATTATTATTTTATTTTTTTAATAAAAAGAGCAAACAATTGCTATGCAAATGAGTGTCGATGTTGAAAGTGAAACACTTAGAGATAAATTAATTAATTAATTAGCATTTGTTTCTATACACACATAGACAGTCTCACACATACTGTTAGATATATATATAATATATATAACAATTGATAAGCACTGGTAGGTTAATATTATTAGTTTTTTTCTCTCTGCTAAAGTAATTGCCCAGTGTGAAATGGCTGCACACACACACAAACACACACACTTGTTTGACAGTTAAATAAATATCAATATTTATTAGGTATTCTCGCGTAAAGTCAAGTGTGTGTGTCTATAGAAAGAGAGAGAGAGAGAGAGAAAAAAACAACTGTCGGACAAGTTATGCAATTTGTAGGTCTAAGCGGAGATGACTGATCTTTTTTGTTGAGATTTTGTTGTTGGGGTTTTCAAACAGTTTTTTTGTTTTTTCATTTGAAGAAAAATACACACAAATACTCACAAACACATACACACACACACACAATGTGTTTTATAAGTTATGTGTGTGTATATGCTTTTTTAAATCCATGCCATCACCACCACTAACACCAGTGACAGCATATACTGTATACACACTGGGAGTTAGAAAGAGTGAGAGAGACATTACACACATATATAAACACATTCACACTGTAATCATTCAGAATATAGTGAGAGAGAGAGAGAGAGAGAGAGAGAGAAAGAGAGAGAAAAAACAGTTGAATAAGAGAACAGTTATGTTGTATAAGAGTGTGTGTATATGTGTGTGGATGTCTGTGTCCTCACTCACTGTATATATCACTGTTCAGTGCACTCGCACTCATACGATACATACACATACATACAGTACACACACAGTTTGACTGACTCGGTATTGAACTCTCTAAATGCTCAAGACATGAGTGCATGGCTACACACACACACACACACATACATACACACAGATTCACACACATACACACACATACACACATACATACATACACACATACATACACACATACACACACACACTTGCAAACCATGGCATACATTGAGTAATCTCGACATTCATTGACTAAATATCCAATAGTTGACTAACAATTTATATTCTCAAACCTGTATATATATGCCATACCCGGAGCCGACAAACACGATATATTAGCGGACAATTTGAAAACAAAAATCAAAATACAAGAATATTCTCTTACTTTTTCTATCACTCACCCACTCATTCTCTCTCTCTCTCTCTCTCTCTCTCTCTCGGTGGGTGTGTATGTGTTTGTTGTGTTTAATATCCTGTTTATTATTGTATTATTAGCTCTAATAATTCATTTGGTAACACTATTTTAAAATCTCATTACAGCAAACAGTAGTCTGATTTATTGGACAGTTAGCTACTATAAGTATAAATTATATTAACTAAATTGTACTATAAATATATATATGTACTGTATTTTGAAATGCCATTAAATTTTTATTGTTTTTTTTATTTTCAGTAATTTATTTATTAATTATGTTTTTCCAGAAAACGTGTTGTGCAAATAATTTTAAATAAATTTTATTTATTGTTTTCAGAATTTTTGTTTGTTTTGTTAATGATTTTTAATATACAATACAATATACTATATACAATATACAGTTTACTTTAATAGTATTGTTTAATAATAATAATTTTTTTTATTATTAACTTGTGTTGTATTTGTAACATTGATATATTTATTTGACATCACATGTCATATAGATTTGTAAAATATTATTATTATTATTATTATTAGCTTTAATTATATTGAGCGCACTGCCCTTAAAAATTTTTTACTCCTACAATACACTAACTAAACCGGTATATATATACTGTATATATATTTATATACAATAATACCGTAATTTAAAGACGTGTAGTATTAGTTGGTTGAGAGTGACATCATATATATATATACAACAACACGCACAGTCATATTATATATATATATATAGTCAGTAATACCAGTGCCTAATAGTCGGTATGTTGTGATTCACAAAAGCCGAAAGTGTAGCTCAAAATCGACTCCAAAAACAAGGAATTTATTGATCACTTCATAGGCATAACTGTATGGGAAAAGGAGAGAGAGAGAGCACAGGGAGGTTACAGGGAAAGTACTTTTTTTAGTCTCATAGCAACGCATCCCGATATGATCTGCACATCACTTCAGCTAACAATACGATACATACGATATATGCTATAACACATACACACACTAACATCCATCCATACAATACAACTACAACTGTAAAACACAATGTGAACCATATTTTACTCTATGGTGTGAAATACACGTCTCACTCACTCAATACATGTAGACTACAATATATAACACACACACACACACACAGTCATAGACATACACACATATATATACACAGAATATTCTCTCTCAACAATAACAAAAAAATGTGTATAAATTTTTATCTTTAAGTCACTCTATTTTTATGGACCAAATTTTATAGTATTTATTATATAACTTATATATATATATATACATAAAATACAACTGTATAATACAGTATATATACTGTACTGTAATATATAATAATACAATACAATTGTAAACTTACCGTAAAACTACTTTGGTACAAAAGTGTAGTATAAATTTTTGTTAAGCAAAAAAAATATGAGTATAAATTTTGTTGTTGTTGTTGTCGGATGCAATGCAATGGCACTGAAACACATAAAAACCCATTGAAAGGCATAAATATATATATATAGTATATACCATATTATAGACAATATAAGACAGTGAAAGTAATAATATATATATATATATATATAATTTATATATAAAATTGAGGAAAATTTAATTTAATGTTTCCACACATATATTGTATATACAGTATATATCGTTTGCCATCAATAATGAAATCATACGTTTAAACAGTCGTCAAAAATATGTTTTTTTTCTGTACTATTTTTTCCCTCTTGTATTGTTTAACGACTCATACTATATCTGATTATATCAATTTTATTTTTCAATAAATTTTTTTTATATTATTTGATGTTGTGTTGAAATTTATAATATAATTATTAACCAATTATGTTGCGCATCGATAAACACATTGCATGTATATACAGAATATATTGTTGTTGCCGTGTGTTTGTGTGTGTGTTATAAATATTATTGATTTTATGCAATAATTTTTTATCAATTTTTTTTGAACAGTCAAAGACAATAGCGTTGTTTAATGGAATTGCAAAATATTGCCAAACATTTTGTTGGTATTAGTTTTTTGTTGTTATTGTTGTTGTTTTCAAACTACTTTTACAAATTGATAGCAGTTATAGATAAGAGAGAGAGAGAGAGAGAGAGAGAGTGTGCAATATTAAAGAATATTTTTTATATTAATATTACATTTATATATTCATATTTCGAAAGAATATTCTTTGATGTATAGTATTCTCTATGGCTTAGAATATATATTATATATAATCTTTAATAAGAATACATATATGTTTTTATATGTATATAAATTATATATATATATATATATTTATTTATATAAAATCTATTATATACTATATATTAATATATGATAGAGAATCTGTATATTCTTTATAAATAATAAAAAAAATATTGTTTTGTCTGTAAAATTAAACTTTTGTTTATATAATATATTTATTTCATAACAAGTAGTTGTTGTTATTTTGTTTAATAGCAAAAAAAACATAAGCGGTATTATATTACATTTTTTTTGTTGTTTGTTATAAAAGCATTTGCCTGCCGCATACATACACACAACTATCCCAATAGCATACGGTAGTGCCAACTAATTGTTTGATTGATTGCTTTTTTCAATAATAAAAGACAAACACAGCCCTACTATCTTACTATTAGTATTATTATTATCATTATTATAAGTATTATTATATTATTAGAAATAAAAATTTAATATATAATATTCGTGTGTATATGAAAAACTGTTTAACCCTAAAGTGTGTTAATATTTAAACTTTTGTTTGTGTGTGTGTGTATGGGTTAAGCCTTTATTTAGTATTATTCAATATTATCAGTATTATTATTATTCATAAATTACAATAGACAAGTTTTATACTATGTTGATAACCATAAATGGTTTATAAGTAAAAACACTTAAATATTAAGTAAATTAATGGCTGAGTATATAAATATGGTATGTGTTTGTTGTTCAATGAATATAAGATGAAAGAAATTTTTTCAAATTAAGTCAAAATAATACACACATAAAATATTATTATTATTATTATATAGACTTATACAGAATATTCTTTATATGCTGTATATATATATACACCAAGTATACAGAATTGAATCATTCAACTATAGAGACTAATACATTAAACATTAGTCTATTTTATTTATTTTTTTTTATTTTTGTACAATTGCTGCCTAAACTTTATTAAACTTTATCAAACAAACAAACAAATACACACTTATATTATTTGCATAAAATTTATTTTATTTGTATATCTGAGAAATAGTAGAAAATTGTTTTAAAAGATTTTTTTCTTTTAAAACTAGAATAACTTAAGAGAGCAACAAAAATAAAAATAAAAAGATTAATATTATTTTTATTTTTATTACCACTACTACTACTACTACTAACGATAACAACAACAATAATAATAATAACAAAACAAAAAAAGAGTGAAACAAAATAAAATTATGAGAGAGCTTTCAAAGTCATTATGATATTTATTATTCATAAATAACTATGTATTGTATATACAGTGTATATCATGTGTTTATATATATATATATATATGTAATGTTAATTTTACGGCCATATACTCCCACACAACCACACATACAGAGTCATACAAATACATGTACTGTACATACACTGAATATTGTAGATAATGTTATACAGGCGTACATAAAATGATAACAAATATTTTTGTTTATTGCATTTTTTTTGTAAAAAGTTAAAAAAGCGGGTGACTAACTGAAATGTATATAACTATATATATACAAAAAAAATAAATAGTTATATAAAAGATTTTCAATTTTTTGAATTATATTCATTGGAGCGCAAGTCAGTGAACATACAACTACAGTATGTGTGTGTGTGTGTACTGTATGTATATATGTATGTATGTATCTATTTATGTGTATAATATATATATATATATATATATATATATATATATATKTGTGTGTGTGTGTGTGTGTGTGTGTATGTATGTGTGTGTAGTGTGTGTATATATGTATCTATTTATGTGTATAATATATATATATATATATATATTTGTGAGTATGTGTGTGTACGGTATGGTATGTATTGCATTTTTTTTTAAAAAAAGCTACAGTTCCCTTCCTATTATTATGATTACCAAAGTGAGCTCTCAAATAAACCATTTTTTTATTCACTGAACCAAATATAAGACACTTTTCTGGGGCTCAACAACAACGACAACACTAACAATATATTACAAATACATTACAAATACAGTTTAGCTTTGGTTTTGTAAACTGTTTAGAGTTAAAGTTGTTGTCGAAAACAAAACAACAAATGTTTGAAATTTTATTGTATAAATTTATAAAGTTTTAATATATAATAATAGTAATAATAATAATATCATAATATTTATTATTATTGTTATTATTATAGAAATAAAAATTTTAAAAATATGAAATCTTGAGTGAAAACAAAAATAAAAATCCAGAAAAATAAGTTATGAAATATACATAAGATTTGTTTATATTATATAATATTATATACGGGATATAAGTATAGTTTAAATATAAAATAATATAAAAATAAATAATGCTGAATATACTTTGATATATAATATATTTATATCAAAAAATATTTCAATTGACATTTAAATGTTTTAAATAAAAATATATATTGTTTTCAAAAAATTTCAAATTTCATTTTTATCGGTCATTGTATTGGATAGCATTTATAATAAATACATTATATATGATAATATGCTTCACAAAAATATTATAAACAAATTAATGTTATGTTAAATTTTAAGTAACAAAACATAGCACAAAATGAAATGTCTTTTATTTTTATTTATATTATTATTATTTAAATTGCATATAAATTTAATGTTAATGCCATCCATTTAGACACTCACTCACACACATACATACATTAACTCATGAGAAACAATTTAATTGCTATGAAAATGAGGATATTTTTGAGCGCATAAATTATTTTCAAAGCTTTATTTTTAGGAGGATTTTGCTTTTGAATTGTTTTTATTTTGTTTTCATTTTATACAATAGGACTAGAAATATATTGTAATAACATATATATATACAGTATATACATATATAGCAAAATATATTGAAAATTTGTTAGTAGCAGTAGAAGCAACAACAACAACATGAGTGCCACTTAGATATAGTAGAAAAATTGATATATATCTTAATGTATTACATAATAGACAATTTTCTCTCTCTCTCTCTCTCTCTCTCTCTCTCTCTCTCTCTCTCTCTTTACAGTATGTGTGTATAAATGCAATACAGAATATTCTGTATATACAGTACTATATTTATATATATATGTTGTATAGTAAAGTGAATGTACAAAATACATAAATTACTGTATATAGCTGTGTGTGTATGTGTTGTAGAGGCTATGAGAGTGATAGGGAAAGTCGTATAATAAATGAGTCTCACATTTACAGTGTATATCATAGCTTAAGAGTTAGTTATTGAATGAATGAATGAGAGAGAAAGAGAGAGAAAGAGAGAGAGAGAAATAGGGGAACAACAGATAAGATTTATTTGACAGCGAATTAAACGATAGGAGAAAACGCCAGCAAATAAGTTATACTATTATACATGTGTTTTATATATACATATATAAATACATAAGAATATTCTGTGAGAATGTGTTTTTATTTATAAATAAATATATCTTTATTTTATATCTATAAGTTATGTCCAATTAAAATATAAAGAAATAGACAGTTATATATATAATTATATATAATATTTTATTTATTTACAGCAAATGTTGTTGTTGTCAAATGTTTAGATAATTATATATTACAAGAGGACTGATGAAGAAAATAGTGTCCAATTAGGCCACACATATACAGTACACACAAACACATCAAAAATAATTAGCACTGCATTCAAACTGTTACCACATTTCGCATCTTTTCTGTGGATTCATTGCTGAGCCGACTGGACAGCCAAATGCTTGAGCAAACTGTCCAAAGTTGGACAGTGCGCCGTTGACCCGATATTTTTCGGGCGAATGGACACCGCGTAGTATTTTTTGTCTCACCTGTCGGGGCGTTATATATCGACACCATTTCTATGGGATGAGAGAGAGAGAGAGAGAGAGAGAGAAAGAGAGAGAAGAAAAGAGTTAGAAAAAGAGATAAAAAATATTATTATATTATCAATAATATTGATATCTATATATCCATAATATTTTCTCTAAAATAATATATAAATGTAAAAAATAAAATATAAAAAAAAATTGATAAATTGATGTAAAAATATCATTAGATAGTTGTGGCACAAAAAATATGAGACAATTTTTTATTTTGGGTACTGTTTGTTGTTGTTGTTTAGTGCATGAAAAAACATAAAACAAATTTAAAAATCAATAACTATTGTCATCGCTATTCACTATATATATATTGTTAACTTAAAGATAGACACGAAAGATAAGACTAAGAAGACATATAATTTTTTTATATAATATATATATATATATATTGTGCACACACTTGACTTAACACACTTGACATACCTGTGCGTAGGATAAGAAAAATAGCTGCTGTGGCGTATAGTTGGGAAAGTTGGGCAATAGTTTTATGTCATTGCTATAGTTGTTGTTGACATTATTGAAGTCATTTTTGGCACTGATATTGTTGTTGTTGTTGTTGTTAGTATTACTATGTTTTACCAGATTATTGAACGCAATAAACGAAGCTTTTAGGCCAACTATGTCTCCGATGTCCTCCTCAAAGGTCTTCATGCCGTCCAACTGATAGATAAATATAAATTTATATATATATTGATGATAAAGAAAGAGTGAAAGAGAGAGAGAGAGAGAGAGAGAGAGAGAGAGATAAAAGGGATGTTATGTCATATAAAATTGTCTAACACTTAACTCATAGACATCCCACACATATATATTATATATATATCGATAATATATATTACTTATATTTATATGTATTACTTAAGTGGAGTATTGATTTTCATACATACAGTATAATATATAAGTGATTTATTCACATTCATACATATATAAAATATATATGTTATTCAATCAATTTTGTTAATAGCAGCAAAAATTCATAGCATCTTATATTACTATTATATGTATATATATGTAGTAGTATTGTATACTAAATATATTATATTATATATGTGCGATGATTAAGAGTGTTTGTGTGTGTGTTAGGAGAAAAAAATGTTTTATTAATGATATGACATTAAATGTCTTTAAGGTTTGAGAGGAAAGTCATCATAATATAAGCCAAACTGCAATACTGATGGCCCCATAAATACAGTATATGGGTTGCATCGTAAAATAGCTAACACACACACACATACATATATATATATATATATATATACTCAGTTAGAAACAACAAGCACTGGTATATTATTGCAGTATTTAATAGTAGTAGTAGTACCAAAAACGGTACTTACATTCATATCAGTCGACTGGTCAAAGTATGAACTGTATTGGTCGACAAAACATTTGGCTTTTTCCAGAAACAGATTGATATTTGTCTTATCCCAGGGATACCGGAGCCGATCGTCGCCGTCATACCTGGGCATCGATGCGTGCGATATTTCGTGGCCAACAAACGATCCGATCGATCCATAATTGATATATCTATTGGCGCATTATTACAATATATAATAACAAACACCAACAACAACAACAAAAAAGACAATCAGACAGTTGTTATCCAATAATAATAATAATAATCGCGTGAATCATCGCTTTTCTATTATTTAATACATACGCTGGCCTTTTGCTATCGTAAAAAGGAGACTGTAGTAAACCAATAGGTATTGCTGTGATTGTATTACCAAAGATATATATATATATATAGTATAAGGATAGGGAGGTTAAGGAGACAATAGATGATGACGACGACAATGACAATCAATATATATAATACATATAAAAGACATACAATTATATTGTAATTACATTTTTTTCTCAAGTGTTGCTAAATTATATTAATTTCTATGTACAGTATATACATACTGTAGTATTGTATTATATATATAGTGATAAATATAACATTAATTTTTTTTAGCTGTATATACTGTATAATATTTAATGTATCACCCAAATTGAATGATACTAATAAATATTAAATAGAAATATTCTATAAGAGTGTCTATCAATTGATATATGAGTTAAATATAATATATGACTTACTAATTAAATTTTCTATAATATCATACGATGCGCCCACCGATAAAGGTGACTGATCCCAGTGGGTCGACTTATTTACAGGTTTGCCAATTGTTTGCCAGTAGTTACGGATGCCATATGTGGACAGTTGGATGTAATAATCGACTAATCGATTATTACTAATAATACTACTACTATTACCGCCATCACTGGTATAGTTTTTGTTGTTGTTGTTGTTGATGTTGACAACTATTGTCTATGAAAAACAATAGTTGATTATAATTTATTAAATGTAATATTCATTAAATTGTTTGTTATAAATATATAATATTGATTTTTCGTTTTGTATTATGTTTGCCTTGTATTATAATATTTATTATATTATATTATATGTATATTACTATCATACTAATAAAAAGTTTAATTAAAAATTATTTTTTATCGCTTTTTGCAATCATGTTATTAGTAATAGTCATATATTAATAGTATGATATAATATTATTATTAGTTTTATTATTAATAGGCAATTATTAATGTCAAAATATATAAATTTATATACAATATACTATACACACATACACACAGTATTAATAGTTGTGTTTAATTTATTATAGATATTATTATTATTATTATTAATTATAACTATTAATATAATGTCAATTCCAAAGCAAGTAGTAGACAATTTTGGTTACACAATAGATACTTACATATTATACACACACATACATACATACACATACATACACACACACATATATATACACACACATACACACAAGTTACATAAATATTCAGCACAGGTAGTAAACTAATATTTTATATATATGTATATATGTTTTCATAGCTCACAGTTACCATATTTCGATGATATTCCCGGAACTGGTTGTCATCAAACAGCCAATCAGGATAACCAATATTATCTTTGATTGTCTCAACTTTGTTGATAAATTCGTGTCTGTTGTGTAGCCATTGTTTGTCGCCTATCAGTCCAATGAACGACTGTTTTACTGAACCAATAATATCGGACACCCGGAGACGTTCGTCGGGCGGCAAATAGCGGGCCGCGTACTCTCTGGTCAGGGCGTATGGCACGTGTTTTTTTAACGGTTGCAAACATTGGCGCCACAATTGTTTTGTTCGCTCGTTTTGTTGGCTATCGTGAAATTTATGCTGAATTTCTGATTTATTAAAAATATATATATTTTTAATAAAATTTTTATTGTGGTTGTTGTTGTTATAAATTACTTATATTAAAAACTACAATATACTGTATAAATTGATATATCTCTAAAAAAATTTTTACAAATAGAAAAATGAGTTTAATATATTGTATATACAAGTATATCACAAAATATAATATAAAAGTATAGTAAATTGCTTTTTACATATTATACTTGAAGATCTAATAATTTATATAMAGATTTTTATTTTTTTATTTTATTTTTTTAAAGACAAACATTTTATAGATTATAGTTTTATATATATATATATTATATAATAGCATATATAACATATGATTTAAGTTATGTTTGCTTTGTATTGATTTTGATAAGTGTTGGCAATTGAACTGAATTTTTTATAGACATTACTATTACAATATAAAAAACAACTTATAGTTATAGCTTTTATAGTTAGGATTTTATTTTTTCGCCTAAAGATTTTTATTGTTTTTTAATATATAAAATAAATAAATAAATAAATGATTTCATGATTTTCTTTTTTTTATATATATAAAGCAAAAACACATACTAAACGAAACCGAAAACAAGAAAATCGTATAAAAAATAAATTAAATAATTTTTTTTCAGTCAATTAAATACTGTATATATATATATATATATATATTGTTTGTCAAAAATATATTGTATAAAAAATACAACAACAAAAACTATAATAAATTATGTGACCCACATGTTTGTCATCAAATAATAAAATAATAGACTTCTATACACAGTATATTATATACAATATTTATTTCATATTGAATTAAATAAATCGTATAATTTTTTAAATAGTAAATAAAATTTTATGATTTTTTTAAAAAAATAATAATAAATATAATAGTTTCATAACAATTGTTTGTTTAAGTTAATGTTATTTTGGGGTAACACACACACACACACATTCATAAACAGTATATAATATAGTATATAAATTTATATTTAAAAATAAATAAAAAATAAAACAAAATTTTCATTGTTAACATCAACAACAACAACAAAATGAAAAACAGTATATAATATGTAAGTCAACRTAAAATAAGATTGAAAAACCTTTTAAAATAATTGTATTTCTATTTGAAGGCATTTTTGTTAACATTTTATTTTTCTTTAAAAAAAATTTCTTTTACTCTTTTTTTTAAAAAATTTAATTTCAAATAAAGGGATCCAATAAAGCGATTCATTTGTTAGTGACTTTAGTAGTGTATATATATACTGTTTTTTTTTGTAGTTGAAAGTTGCCTTTCATCTCCCTGTGCTCTCTCTCTCTCTCTCTTTCTTTCTTTCTTTCTTTCTTTCTCTCTCTCATTCTCTCTCTATTATCTATCTATCTGTATAACACTATACTATTTATTAAACAGTCTATTTTGATATCACATGTTACTTATTATATATATATATATATAATATAATATAATACAAGAGCACAGTTAGCACTGGCAATACAAGGGGGTAATAGACATATACCGACAGTCAGAGTGAGACAGACATGTCTTGTCTTTTTCATTTGTGAATTCAATTTTGCAAAACTTTATATATATATAGTTGATGTTGTCGTTTGATCGCAAATTGATTTACAAAATACTAAAAAAAACTATATATGTATATACAGTACAGTATATATATATATATATATATAATGTATTATATATTTATTTTTATTTTCTCAGCGAGACTTTTAGTTTAGTTTATTTTATTTATTATTTTGCGACTAATATGATTAAAATGCTTAATATATTATAAAAACAATTTTAATACTAAATATATCGGTATATTCAGTATATATATAATTTTAATAAATAGATTTGTATGCACAAATAAATGGTTTTTAGCACAAAAAACAAACAAACAAAATACCAAATAAACAAAATACAGCACAAAAAACATTTGAGTGAAAAACATTTAAACAAATTTTATTTTGTATTTTTTTCAAACAAACAAAAAATAAAAAAATATATATAAGAAAAAAAAATATTCTGTATTTATATAGACTTAACGTTAATTCCCAGTAAAATAAATGAGAGAAAACCGGATCAAATTAGATATACACTGTATATCTGTATATATATATATATCTTATATATATACTATACCGGTATATATAAACTGTAGATATATACTGTGTATAAATGCCAACAATAAAAATAACAACAATAACAACAAAAAGCTTCAACACTATTAACAATACAGAGAAAAAAAGAGAGAAACGGCTTAAAGATAGACAATAATAATAATGAAAACATACTGAACCTAAAAATTGAGGACCCAGTGCCAGAAAGCCCAACGATTCAATGGCTCGCCAACCGATATAATTAGCAATCACTATCGGATCGGTTTTTTCTAACAATTGCGACAATCGTAGCATATAATGAATGTCGACGATTGCATTCATTTGGCTTATTATCGGCTGAAACTGTATATTATGATTGCCGGCTGTTATGTTAGCCAACAGTGCCGTCCAATTGATTTCACGGATAAAACAATTTAAGACATTCAATGGTCGCTCCAATTGAAACTCTTTTCCCGTACTTTTGTCTGAAATCTGGTTGTAAAACAAATTTCAATGGATTATTGTTTTCAGACAAACAAACAAACAAAAAATAATACTAATAATAATAAATAAAATTCAATAGTTAATTGAAAAAAAGTAATAAAAAGCAAAAAGTGTAACAACAAAACAACCAAAATAAATGAGAAATAATTTATATATCGTGTAGTGATTGTGGATATTTTAGGAATAGGGAAATGATTGTAAGGACGGATAGTCAGTCAATCAGACAGACAGACAGACAAACTGATAATAATGTCGTAAATTACTTATAGTCAAGTAATATACTCTATACATGTATGTAATGTTATATATAGAGTTCCCCTAAACTATATCTACAGCATGTATGTATGTATAGTCAGTAATATATAATATTCTATAACTTTTTAACAAAAACAACAACAAAATAACACAACTGGTAGTGAATTGTCATCATTTCAAGCACTGTATGGTTAGAAACAAATCGATTTTTACTTTTCTCTATTTCTCTTATCTTACAGTTGTGTATATAATATAATATCTATATATACTGTATATAATATGTCTTGTAGTGAAAAATAATTTGATCCCTGATTTTGATTGAAAGTCTCTCTTTATGTGTCATCTCTCTCTCTCTCTCTCTCTCTCTCTCTCTCTCTCTCTCTCTCTCTCTCTCTCTCCTCGCTTTTAATCACTCAGTCAGTCACTATTTCATTATATATGAGATTTTCAGAGCAAACAACTATAGGTTTTGTTGTTGTTGTTGTTGTCAGTAATTTTGGGAAACTATTTTACGTGTGTGTGTGTGTGTGTGTCGTTGTGTGACAAATCTAACCACTATTTTTCTCTCAAACAAACAACAAAATAAGAAAAAATATATATTATATATAATAATAATATCGCACAGTTGTCTCCAATATCTAATGTAGTACTTGTCTTATATCTGTCTGTATGTCTGTCTGTAAGTTGTCGGCTAAACTTTGATAATGTTTGTTATTTATCAATATAATATATATATATATATATATTTATATTGTAAATACAGTAATATAGCGCAGGAGGAAAATGGTGTCCAAATAGCGGAAAGACATGAGTGACACTGGTTGACACATATAGCGGAAATCGTGTATAAAAATGCTTCAAATAAATAAATATATATATATATTATATAACTTTAAATTAAATATATATATATCATCTTATATTAGATAAACATATATATATATATATAGATAAATACAAAGTTAAAATATTTTATTAAGATTTTCAATATATATTTTCCAAGAATATTCTTTTCTATTTATCTATATATTAAAATCTACAGAATATTCTTGGAAAATAATATAAACTAAAACTTTAAAGTAAGTGTAATACTGATATTTGTCTATAATTTATAAATAAGGTTTTATATATATATACAGTATATAAAACTTTTTTCTAATATTGCTTAAGGTGATGACACAGAGCATAGACATACACAGATAGTCAACAACATAACAACACTGGAGCTTATGTATCAATCGATCGATACTTATATACTATAATATATATATATATATACTGTATAATATATATCAGTGCCACTATTATATACAGTATATGTGTGAATGACAACTATTTACGTGTTGGCAACCTGTCAAACAATGTAATAAACAGATACACATAAGTATATTATATATATATATATATATATATATATATATATATATATATATATATATATATATATATATATATATATAATATACGATATATACTGGTACACTTAGAAAACTGATACATTTAACTCTAACACTAATTTAGATTATATATTATATATATAATATATTCATAAAATATGGGTACAAACTTTAGCCATATCTGACTCAAACTTAATTATATCATATACGGCATTAATAGTACGATTATGATCGTTGCGTTTGTCAAAACTGTTTGGTGCGCCCATCAGTACGGCCACATCGTGTATGTATCGGCCGTAAGCCATGACATCCTTTTGGGCAGATTTTCGGTTAATGTCGACCAATGTTTGCAACGATAATATGAACGATGAATGAGAGATCTGTTACAAAAAAAAATATAAATTAAATATTAAATGATATAAATGTTAGAAAATATGTATTTATTAAGAATATTCTGCACTTCTAACTCTAATATAAATTTCAAATGTTTTCTGGATAAGCAATGGCTTGTACTGTATATACCAGTTGTAAATAATATAGATATTTGATCTCTYTCTCTCTCTCTCTCTCTCTCTCTCTCTCTCTCTCTCTCTATCATTAAATAGACAATGCATTCCTAAAATTAATACAATGTATTATATATAAAGTACATATATTGAAGAGTTATTTGTATCAATTAAATGAATTCATTATAAATATATAATACACATATACAGGTGTAAACTATAGCTGAACGATAAAAATTTTAATGTTTTTATTATTATTATTATTATTTTGTTAAATTTAATAAAGATTGACACTTGTACAGAAATTAAGTTATAAAACAAAAACAACAAAAAAAGCTAGAATTTAGTATAAAATGTATAAGTGTTATATAATACATAAATATATTTATTAAATCCTAATACTATGAAATTTATTCACTTTATTGAATTTAATGAAATAAATTATAGCCAACAACAACAACAAAAATGCAAAATTGACAAATCGGAAGAATATTCTTATGTTATTAAAATGTTTGAATATATAGTGTATATATATATGTGTGTATAAATAGCACAGAATATTCTGTATGTCTTTATGTGAATATATATATTCTGTAAATAGTATTTATTTCACGATTTTCTGTTTGCCAGTTAATGTCAATTCAAACACATACACGCTATTCATACAGTAAATTGTTTTATTCAATACCACCATTCCTTATAACATTCCGTTCCCTTTAGTACTGCAGTTATAACCAATACTGTATATACTGGCACAGTATGTGTGGTATAAAACAAATTGAATGTAAATTTATTTGTAACCGATTTTGTCTGTCACAATCAAAATAGCGCCTATAGCCTAACTAAATACTATAACAGCTTATACAGTACCCTTACACCAGTATATGAATAACATACTGTACTAAAAGCTAACTATGCTCTTTTTCTTCTCTCTCTCTCTCTCTCTCTCTCTCTCTCTCTCTCACATGCCATGACATGCCAAACATTATTTGTGCATTTATTTGGTTGTGTGAGAGTATGTATGTATGTATGTATGTATGTATGTGTGTGTGTGTGTGTGTGTGTGTGTGTGTGTGTGTGTGTGTGTGTGTGTGTGTGTGTGTCTGACTATTTTATTTCAAACAGTTTGGAAATGTTTTTGAAAATTACTTTCAGAGGCAGTCAAGTGTTTGAATTGAAAATTAGAAGTCAAAAGCCTATGAAGTAATGTTTATAATAAATAAAGAGAGAGAAAGAGAGAAATAAAATTAGGTATATGTGCCCTAAGAGAGAGAGAGAGAGAGAGAGAGAGTAAGCAAACTGTGCATATTGTGGATATTAATGGGTTTAAGGATGAATGAGGGGTTAACTGGTTAGTGTGGGAGAGGTAGTTGTTGTCATGAGTTGGTACTTAACTTGAGTTGTTTGACAGAATTTTCGTTTATAACGTAATCTAAATTTATTAAAATATCGCTTCGTATGTATGATAGCACATAAACCAGCCCTTTGTGCCAGTTATACGACATATTTATTTGTTGACTATCAATGTTATCGGTACTACCGGTACTACTACTACTAGCAGCAGCACCACCACCATCATTACCATCAATAATAGGCCAACCGCCCATTTGCCTAAGCACCCGTCTCAATGAATCAATATTAGCGCGTGAATCGCCCGTTTGTTTGCACAATTGATACATATTTACGATGTGCTTAACTACATCCATGCGCTTATTATCACCAGTAGTAGTGCTACTACTACTACTAACAGTATCATCATCATCATCATCGTCCTCATCATTATCATCATCAGCAGCAGCACCGACACGATTGGCATTAGTGGTTGTTTTTGACGACAATATTGCATTCAAATTGACATCAATTTGTTGCCTAAGTTTGACAAACGTGTCGAACTCGGCCCCACCGTTGGACAACAATTGTATCAAATAGTCCAATAGGTGTTTGTCCTGCCAGCCCCCGCACGCGTAGTCATAGAAATTGTCGCACGGTTTTAACGATTGATTCAGATAGCGGTTCATTTCGGTTGATATTTCGTAGCACTCGTCGGTAAGACACAGGTCGACTTCCACACCTCCGCCGTTGACCACCGATGAACCGCCGGTTGGGTCGCCGTAGTCATAGTCACCATCCAATGCATTGCTATTTATTCATATAGTATACAATATTACCCGTTATTACCAATGATGACGTTTATAAAAAAATAAAAGTCCAATAAGTGAATAGCAAACAAACAAACAAATAAACCGTTAAATAAAACAAACAAAATATTAGATTGAAAATCAAAATCATTTGCAAAAATCAGTGAACAAATAAAACAAAACAACAAAAAAGTCATTTACTCGTCATTGTCTTCATTGTCGGCGATTGTCAACGATTTGTTGTTTGCTTGTGYTGAGTGACCGGCGCCTGACTTTAATGACTTTGGATCCATTGGCAAAGCACTGGTAGCTGATGATGGTTTTGGCGACGATGATGATGATGATGACGACGGTGCTGGTTGTGACCCACATTTCGATTTACTATTATTAGTATTATTGCTATAATTATTGGTTTCATCAGTACGACCACCATCGCCATTGCTARMACTGTCATCTCTACTATTGGCAGCTCCTGTATTACTGTCGTCACCATTGGCTATACATTTAAGATTCCGTATCTGTTGCTCATAATGCCGGGGGTGATGGTGTCGCCGGTGTTGTTGTTGTTGATGATGATGATGACGATAAATCCATTGCATACGACAATCGTTGCATACAAGTCCTGGACAGCCACGACCCATGTCTATCATRTTAAGTGGATGTGCGTTAAGAAACGGCTCGAATACTGTCTCATTGAGAACCGTTAGCTTTTTATTGCATCCGTTAAGTCCTAAATAAATCTTTGCCGGTCTAACGGGGGGTAAAATAGTAGACAGATATATAGATTTACACATACAATATTGAATACCGTTTTCTACCCAACCCAACCCCCCTATTCCCCCATTTAATTCTATATTATATGACATACATAAGCTAATGCCATACATAAAAACAATGGCATTTATATCTATATATAATATCGTATATATAAATATTATGTGTGTGTGTGTGTGTGTGTGTGTGTGTGTGTGTGTGTGTGTGTGTGTGTGTGTGTGTGTGACATATAAAAAAACAATATATAATATTAAACATAATTTATTTTTATGGCCAGTTATATAATATGTACAGTATGTGCCCTTTAGCTTATGTATGTATGTATGTGTGTTATGGACATAAATTAAAAGACTAGTAGCATAAAAAAAATAATAATAATAATGTGCACATACCTATTAATTCCCATAAATGCCTGTCCAGTACTGCCAAAACTTTTGTCGTTTAATGAATTGCCGGCTAAGTCAACGGTCAGTGTCTTGTTTGACGGCTCATCAAAACTGAACGCACCGTCGCTTAAGTAATCAATTTTATTACCCGCGAGACTCAGCGACCGGAGCGCCGGCAGATCGGCAAACGCTTGGCTATCGATTCGTTCAATGGTCGCACGGCTACCGGTGCCCAACTCGATGTCCACCAAACGGTCCATAGTATTAGTAGCATTGCGCGGCTTGAATGCTCTGGTAGTTTTATATAAAGTATATACAGTATATGTTATATATATTAATAGTTATATAATTTATACAATAAATTAATATTAAGTAGTTTACTAGTAGTACAGTGTAGCTAATTTATTTTAATTATAATAGGCCACTTTCTCTAATTATAGGCTAACTGGCCAAGCTCATTAATTTAATAAAGAGAGAGAGAGAGAGAGAGAGGACATGTATCCATGGGGACAAATTGAATGCACATAATTAATTAAGCAATATAAGTTGGTCTACTATAGTTAGACACAATAGTTTAATTTGGGCAATGTTTTATATATACCATTATATACAGTGTACAGTATACAGTGTATATATATATATATATAAAACAAACAAAAAATAAATTAAATATTAACATACAAAAAAAATATATGCTTATTTATTTAATTAACTATCAATTTTATAATTAATAAGTTGAATATAGTATTTGATGAAAAATATTAGCTTATAAAATATAACAAATATAACTTAGTTTTTTTTGTTTGATAATAATTTTTTGTTTTGTTTAGATTGTTAAAAAAGTATGTTTTTTTGTATTTATTTTTTTAACACAATTTTAATGCATCTAATGTGCATAAAATATATGATTATTATTATTAATATTTTTGCTGTTAAGTTAAATGTTACGGCAGTTTAGTTTTCTTATATCAGATTTTTTTTGGTAATTTTGTTTGACTCATGGATTATATAAACTTAAATTGTATTATAAATTTTTTAAATGTTAATATCATTTATTTTTTTCTAACTTTATTATGAAAAGCATTTTTTTAAATGTGATATATATATAGATTTTTTAAGACGCTATAAATTTACTTCAACATTAATTTTAACAATTTTTTAAGTAAATAGATTTGATTATCTTAAAATCATAACAAATATTTATTTAATATCTATTATAGTATATATTAGTATAAATAATGTTATGTATCATATTTATATAAGTATTTATTATTTATATTTACTAATGTATTAATAAATAGTAACTATAAAGTTAATATTTTATTATTGTTGACTTATATATCCAATTTTTATTTCAATTAAATTATTAAATAACATTAACTATTATAAATCTAATAAATCAATTAACTAAGTCTTAAATATTTAATTTACAATTTCTAATTAACTAAAAAATAAATAAATGACTAAAAATACTAAATATTTAAAACATTTTATTAGAAAAATTTTYACTTAATTATTTAAATAGTTTTCTATATGTAAGTTTATATGTTTAATTTGTAATTGATTTTTTAATTTAATGTTGAAAATCTCTCTCTACGCTCTAATAAATATCATTTTAACTTTTATTAATTTACAATTTAGACAACAATTTTATTTTTCAACATTATAATGTATTTTTATTATTTTTTAAATTATTTAATCTTATTAAGATAGTAATTATAGATGAACTAAACTTTTTTTATAAATAAATAACTAACTAATTGTAATAAAATTTCTATATATTGTATAATCTATAGTATTTTTTAATATAATAATAAATAAAAATTATTTTATGATAAAATACTACAAACACACACACAAATCATAAGTTTATTATAAAAATATTATTTTTWTTATTATGAATAATTGTTGTGGTTTTTATGTATGTATTATAAATTATAATACACAATGTATGTGTGAAAAATAAGATTTATTATTATAAGTGAAATATATATAACAGAGCAATCATATTTAAAATATATAGCAGTATTATAATAATACAAGTTATACATTATTATATATAAATTATATTATATTATAAATTGTTGAGACAAAAAAAAATAATAATATGCATTTTAAGCATAAAAATAGAAATATACMGAAAAAAAACTATAGTCAAATATTGCAAAACTAAAATGTTTGATAATTAATCATTTTTTTAGCTTTAATACTAAACGCTGCTAAAGCACTGGTAGATTTTTTTTGCTGTTGTTTGGTAAGTGTTGTGTACTGTATCTATTTATACAGTATATATACTATATAGTATATATATGATAGATATGAACTGTATACAGAATATATACTGTACTATAGATAAACACCTAACAGTATACCAATAAATGAGAGATAACTGGCCTTATATACTGTGAGTTATATATATATATATATATATATATATATATATATATATATATATATATATATAGTACTAATGTCTAAAAACCAATATTATAAATCTCACTCTCAAAATATAAGCCAATATTATAGACTAAATATAAAAAAATAAAGTATGGATTATAATGATTATAACGATTATGATGACTGCACTATAATAATAATAATAAAAAAATAAATTATATATTATTATATCTCAAATAAATATAGATATAAAGAAGTATATATCATATAAATTTATATATAGATTGTATTATAGTTTAATATCTATAATATTAAATCCCAAACATATGGGGGTGGCTATAATGTACAGAAAAATTTATATATCATTATATTCAATATATCTGTTTTATACAATTTATATTAATCTAAATTATATGTACTTAAAAAAAGCCATCTGAAAAAAATAACGACAACAAAATCCTATTAAAACTATGAGTTATATATATATATATATATATATATATATATATATAAGTTATATATGATATAATAGTTATATATATGATTAAAACTAATACATAATCGGCTCATACCTATGGGGAATATGTCGGATATTATGGCCAGAGATGACTAGTCGTTGCAAATTTTCTAACAACGCTATCGCCGCAAACAGATCGCTATCGGGTTGGCCGTCAATTTGCGACAAATTGGTAGCAAAAGCGTACAGTTCCTGTACGTGTTGATGGGTACCGTTGAACGCATCCCGGTGCACGTGTGTCAACTTTGAACCGCCCAACAGTATAGTCCGAAAGCGAACCAATCGGAACTGGTTGGCCACAAGTCGGCTAACTGAGCGACTGTTCAGATAAAAGGCATCAAAATCCCGATGATTAGCGGGTAAAAAGCTGGACAACTCGTCAAACACACTGTCCAATTGAATGTCCGAACCCTTACAGGACAGCTCACGGGTAGTCTCATTGCACATACAGGGTATGAGTGACGGCGGCGGACATATGACACCATATGTAACACTAATAATATCTGATAATAATATCAACGATAATAATACTAATATCATAAAAAAGTTATTATTTTTATTATTATTAAAATATAATTTAATTATCGTAGACATGATTGTTATTATTATTAGTATTAAAAATTTATTTTTTAATTTCTATTATCACCCGAAAAAAATTCAATTATAATAAAATTACTAATTATTTAATTTTTGTTGAGTGTGTAAAAAATTAAATCATATTATARCTTAAAATATAATTTTTWAAACTTTTTTTTTGTTCAAAAAAATTTATCTAAAATCTAATTATTWTTRTGGAAAGAAAATAAAAAATCAATAATTTTGTTWAWTTTTTTCACAACAACAAAAACACTAACAAAATTGAAAAAAATAAATTAATTTACAGTATCATACTGTTTGATTAAAATTAAATTATTAATAACTTTAATTTTTTGTCCATACATTTTACAACAACAAAAATTTACTTTAACTTGTGATATCATATCTTATATTTTTTTTGGTTAAAAATATATTTTAGCGATAAAAGTCATCTGTAAAGTCAACTCTTTTTATTTTGCTATTGATTAGTTTGTAATATATATTTAAGTTATAACATATTTTATATGTTTAAATTTATAGATAATGTATAAAATACAGTGTATGTATACAAACTACTTAATATATAAATCAATGCTATTTATTTGCCGATACTGTACTGTAGTAGTATAATAATAATAATAATAATAATAATAATACATATTAAGTGATTGATGAGAGAACTACAGTTTAATTCACATTTTTTCATAAAACTGAACCAAAYTTATCAAAAAATATATTATATATCGTTTATACTATATATACAATACTAATAATATATAATTTTTAAATATTGCACACAAACATATATATATATATAATACTGTATATAAACAATTTTWTATAAATTATATATATAATCTTAAATACTGTATATGGTTATCAATTTTTTAAAAAAAAAAGTATATAACAGTATTTTACTCATCCAGTTATCATCCATTTCCTCTCAATAACACACAAACACACTCATCAACTAATCATAAATGTAAACAACAAAAAATTTGCTATATTTTTAATAAAATACTTGATTTAATAAAAAAATAAGTTATACTATGAAATAAACAATTTTTTATGCGGTAAACATTGATAACCACATTATAGCCATATAATAATAATACTTTACATTAATATTGATAACCAAATAAACATCAGACCTTAAATAAAATGACAACAATTTTAATACTTGAAAAATTTATTTTTTTAATAAAATATTTATTATTATTAATAATAATTATACAGTATATTGTATTTATATTGGAAATAAAATTTTTATAATATATCATATAGTATAAGACATATACTAGATACTGTACTGTAGTATATTTATTAAATAAATAAAATAAAATTTATTGAACTTACAGAAAAAATTATTATCAAGAAAAAGTCTACTAATATAAAGGTTTACATTTTTTAAATATATATATATATATTATATATAATTTATATACTAAATGATAGTTTAAATTTTAAAACCATATAAAAATTTATATAATAAATTAAACAATCAAAATTAAAGTTACATTAAAACCCATTTGTATTAATTTGGTAAAAACAAACAAACAAACAAAACATAACATAATTTTCTAACTAAACATTTACTAAATAAAATATTATTAAATTTAAACGATAATCATCTTAAAAGAAATAAACTTTTAAATATTTATTACAATTT